GGAAGGGAGATCGTTTTCTGTATAATAGGTCGGTGCCGGGGCCTCTGAGCTTCCGCCATTTTCAGCAGCCAAGTCCCAGGGAGTCGCCGTGTCGTGCGAGTCAAGTGGCACCCCAGCAACGATGCGCCCTGCCGGCTCTCCCCCACCTCATTCCACTTTCTCTCTGCTGGCGACACAAATTGGACCCGCAGGCGCCGTACGATTTTGGAGCACAGACTTCCTGTTAGACCAGCATTCTCTGTCAAGCAGCCACAGATATTCATTCAAACACATTTGAACGATTGGAACTCGCATTGATATTGCTTTGTCACACGCATTACTGCGTCATAACGCAATGTATGCGGGACGCATAAACCCAATGGCATGTCGAGGGAAGGTTAGTAACATTCAAACAAATGTGAAACAGGATTCCAAGGAATGTGACACAATTCACAAGGAGTGAATGATACGTTACAGGACTTTGAGTCGCATTGAGCACATAAGCAGTAAAGAAGTAAAACATTATTTTGAAAAAAATCGAATAGAAGCACACAAAACAAACTTACTTCCTCGATTGTTTTGAGTGCAGAAAGTACACATTTCATTTCGATTCCACTGCAATTTCCGATATGCATGAGGAAGGATGTGCAGCACCAGGAAGTGTACCTCACGGCAGAACTAGCACAGGGCTAGACCAGGTACAAGGATCGCTCATCTCTCTGCCGCCTCGGGATGTAGGGGATCAGACAACTTGCAGGAGATCACAGCCAATAACAAGTAATCCCCTCGCGGCAAGAAGTAGAGTAGCGTGGAGTGGTGGCAAGCGGTGTTCGGGGCCCTACAGGGTGCGTCAGACACGCCGATGCACAGCAATCAAGTTTCCGAATGTCACACATTCGCATATAAGCTAATTATTTCTCCTCGCTTAAAAATAGCTTTTATAGCTTTTCCCTGGCGGTGACTGGAATCCAAATCGCAGAATGTGCCACTGAGGTGCACTCGTTCGCGAGCTCAGCAATTACACCTACGATCAACTAATGGATCAAGTAAACATAAGAACAACCGATAACCTTCGGTAACCGTTATTCATCTTTGTTAATGTACCTAGTAAAGACACTACATCATCCAAGATAGTTGCTGGATAATCCGACGAAATCCTCTATTAAAATCTCTTGATAATCTGTGGTAATTTTTCCTCTTGGATTTCCAAATGCAAAGGGGTAAGAGTGCACTAAAATGCGAGTTGTCCCCTACCCCATCCTCTTTAGCACACTGACTTCAACTATTTTGTTATTTCTTATTTTACAGAAGAAGAGCTGTACGATGTGCCCGTCGGGATAATTGTACTGCTTTCCATCTTCTATGGAACCATATCGGCTGTCGCTGTGTTGGGCAACTCGCTCGTCATCTGGATCGTGACCACCTCGCGCGGCATGCAAAACGTCACTAACTACTACATCGCAAACTTGGCGCTGGCTGACATCGTCATCGGCCTGTTTGCCATACCTTTCCAGGTACGTGAGGAATAGAGTAGCGCTAGTAACGCATCTTTGTTGGTATGGGTATGCTATGCAATGCATTCCTAGTGCGCCTCATGCAAATCAGACTCAAACGGGTGCCGAACCAGCTACAAAGTGGGTTAGGCTCATGGGCTACAATTGCACATGCAAATATAGACAGAGGTGGGTGAGAGAGCGACGCGAGGAAGAGGGGAGGGCGATGGAGGGAAG